TAATGAAGAAGGTATCACAAAACCTAAAAATCAAACTTTCGACCGCCCATTCAAGAAGGTACTAAATAAAATTAAGAATTGAAAAGCCTTATGAACTCTGCATCTCGTACATATTTTCCTACTTTAAATATCTACTTCAGTGTTCCCCCTTTCTGAACACCAGTTTTCTCTGGTCCACGAGGTGAAATACAGCCAGCCCTTGGCTCCTGAGGTTACTTGCAGTCTCTGCTACATTTAGAAAGTACCTTACAGGCTCTGTCTGATTCTTAGTTCCAGYCCCAGTTAAGTGTSCACTTCCACTTTAGCCAACAATGTCCAGGGTAGAAAGAACATGCCCCATAACACGGTTGCCAAGATTGGTGTAGGGGTGGTGGGCAGAGGGCTAATGASCTGGAAATGCATCTCAAGTTCAATATCATAATTTGAACCCTGGTGTCTAGGTTTGGTCAAACAAAAATCACAAAGAGCAATGTGAACAGACAGGCGACATGGATGTATTCAGCCTCACTTCATGTACCCTGTTTTTATCGGGGCTTCCGAAGTTTCTTCCACTTTGATCAAACCATTGCTGGCTTCCYGGCTTCCTGGTGGCCTGGAAGCCCACATGAACAAGATTACTAGTTTTACCCTCTGCATGTCCCATTTTTCCAACATCAAATGTGCCAGTTATAAAATTGTGAGTTTTCTCATGAAACCACACTGTGGAGAGGAGCATAGGATTATTATCTCTTCTCAAACAGCCGCTTTTTCTTCTTGTAGACCCCTGTAGGTATAAGCTGAAGCTTCCTTCTTATAAGAAATGCTTGTCATAAGAAAGAGATGAGTGTAAAAATGGCTTTTTATAGACCCTCTGTCTACTTCTGCTATGGGGATTATTTAAACATGAAGGAATTTCATGATGATTTGAAATTGACTACCCCCTCCATCTCCAAGTGCTTCTGGATCACCTCCCCAGCTGTTTAAAAAGTTGTTGAGCCATTAACTGCTGCTGAGGCTGCTCTGAGCTCCCTTTGAAATGGGGGTCCCCCAGCTGCAGTACATAATATTAATGAGCAATAAGTGACTGCCTGCTGTCTTCCCCACCAGGCCCTTCTGGGCTCTGACAAGTGCTGCCACTGCCTTCGCATGGCCTCCTGGCCCTTCATGCTGCCGTGGTGGATGTCACTGTCAGCACTTCTGTACCTGCAGCTGATTGGACGTCTCTCAACCAGCCTCTTCTGGTACTGCAGAGGTTGAGGAARTTTTGCTGTTTCAGCGCACCTTGCTGAAATTGTCCAGGTGCTCTTTGACCATTCGACCCTTTCTACAGATGAACAAAAGGGACTGGATCCAAAGCCCATAAAAAATGGCAGAACCAGGCTCTTCCGAGACAGCAGCTCCCCCTGCCCCAAGGAAACTCAGTATTTAAATTTCACATGGAAACCTCAGATATGTGCTTGGAAATTATCTCATCATTGTTTCGAGACACCAACTTTTAGCATAAAGGGGCAAGAGTCCAATATTCACTTTCCAAAGTGAAACACGCTGTTACCTATTTCCAGTCAAAAGAGCAATCGCTGAAGAATCTCAGTCATCCTCTTTTGCATTTAGTTTCTCATACCTTCCCTTCACTAAAGGAGAAGAAAAATGCTTGAAGAACTATAGTACATAGGATTCTTCTTTATAAATCACAGTTAATAGAATGAGCAACTTGTTTTATTGCTATAAGAAAATGGAAAATCAATATGATTTTGCTTTTTCATTTCTATAGAAGTAAGTAGCTGATTTCCCCATGCACTAACACACAATATACAAAGACTCGATTTTTAGAGGTTGGTTAGGGCTAAGTTGGTTTCCTGCCCCTCTGAGTTATTTGACTGAATTAGATGGCCTTGGCGATTTCTCTCCTTGAAAGAAGGATTCTGTAGGAATGGAAGCATGGCAGTTGCTTGTGTGTGACACCACTATGGGCCAGGCACCACTGGAAAACTTATGTGTTGGTTCATTAAATCCTTCAATATCCCTCTGAGGGAGGTAATTTTACAATCAGAATTTGACCAATAAGATAATTGGGAGGTTAAGTGACTCACCCAAAGTCAAATAACTGTAAATGGCAGAACTAGTATCCAAATCCAGTCTGACTTGAAAGCCCATGTTCTTTATCCTAGACTACTCCTCTTTGTGTGTCACAGGGAAAACTCTAGAAGTTCATTACTTATCCCTGGCCATATAATAGAACTAGGAGAATGCAACCTTCCCTCTCTCCTTTTTTTGGCGGGTAGGATTGGTGCTGAGGTTTGAACCGAGGGCCTTACACATGCTAGACAAGTGTTCTACCACTGAGCTAYATCACCAACCCTCAACTTTCTCTTTCTAGATTATAGTAATGTCCTCATCTGCGTTCTGAAAAAGAGAYTGACACTCAACTACCAGGCTTGTTTAAAATACAATACAGAGTTTACTTTCCAGTTTTGAAAGACAGTTGTAGATTTATAAGACATGAACAACTAAAGCAGTGTTGCTCAAAGTCTGTTCCATAGACATGAGTTTTGTGGAGAATATTTGTGTCAAACATGAATCTGAGTGCTACCCAGACTTACTGAAAACGAATCCCTGAGGAGTCGGTCCCAGCAATCTGCCTTTTTAGGAAGCACCCCGGTGATTCTTAGGCACACTTAAGATTGACAGTCATTATAGAGTTGCATCTGGAAGTTTCAGGAGCTCTGCACATCAATTCAATAGTAGATGACTATAGAAAGCTTTCAAAGCCTCTCTGCATTCAATAGCTATTTCAGGGAGAATTGTAATGTGCAGGAAGTGTTCCTAAATTGTTGTAGTTTCCTTCTGGGTGAGCCAGCTGGTTAAGAAAGCTTGAATAATTTCCCAAGGGACTCAGTTAAGTGGACACCCTCACACTCTAGAAAATAAAGTTTTCCACCACGGTCTCAATGTGAGATTGCAGAATGGGCTTCTGATGATCTTTATTTTTACTTAAAACTCTTTCAAAGACCACAACATAGACCATGAGGGCTTCCATAATGTGGCCATGTGCATCTCTCCATCTTTATCCCCAAACATACTCACCTACTGCTGCAACAACCCTGAGCTGCCCTCACTTCTTCCAAGGCACTAAGTGCCACAGCATCGTTGCCTGTGATTTGGGGGTATATTATGTATCTCCTCCCCATCACCTACTTAGCTCTCACTGTTCCTTCAGAGCTCAGATCCACAGTCACCTTCTCAGGGCAGCATTCCCTGGGCCTGCCACAGAAGGGAGGACATCCTATTATCCACTGCCATGCCGCCGTTCTTCTACAGCGCTCCACAGTTTTTCCATCTGCGTTTGACAGTGTGGTAACTTTATTCCCATCTGTCTTCACAAGTAGACTACAAACAAGAACCATAACTATTTTGTGCATTCTGGTGTGTAACTGAAGACCTGTCACATAGTAAACATGCAATTAATCGCTGTGGAGTATCATGAATGAAAAAATGTAATTCATAATGTTGGAAAGAAAGTGTGCATTCTCAATCAAAAGTTTCACATCCATTCCATAGACAAAGATTCCACAGTTTTCATTTCTATCCCTTTTTAAATAGCAGTGAAGATGGCTAGGTTGGGAAGTCTGAACCCCCAAACATCTTTATGGATTCTCAATCCTTTGAGTGTATCAACAGCTTTAATCCCAACGCCATTTTAAAATTGCTCATAGTATGCTTAGTCAGTCATTAGTTGTTAAAAGGAACATTAATGAAAGAGTGCAATTTTCTAATGTTGAAAAAACCATAAAGTAACTATTTCCTCTTTTACTTCAAAGGCTGAAATGGATTTTTGTCATTTAATGGGACAGGAAGTGCAATGAGCTTAATTGGTGATAAGACTGGTTTTATTTAATTGTATTTTATCATCATCATTTTCAAGGGTATCTTTAGTCAGCTATATAAACCATCACACTTACAGAGTGTTCTGTATAGAAGAACATACCTCATTCCTCACAGTAAGTAAAATGTCCATGAGGACATTTGTTTAAGCTAATTTGACACTAAAGGATAGATCTGATGTGCTCCTAACATGCAGGTATGTTAAAAGCTAGAATTGCTCATCTGCCTAGACCTGCCCAGCACTTAACAAACTATAAACCTTCTAAATGGTTATAAAACATTGTCTTAGGGGTATTTTAACTCAAAAAGTTACATCCTACATGAGACCTATATATCAAAATCTAGAAATTTCAAGTGAGTATTCTCCCATTCATTTTTAAATACCTCCCTAAAGTTGCTAAATGCCAGTGACCTCCCACAATCTTTCTTGAGTAGGCATAGGTTTCATTTTATTTCTTTTAATAGAAAGGGATTAGAGAGGCACAGGTAAGTTTAGAGAGTTGGAGAGTCAGCAATACAGATAATTACGGGTTTTACCTAACACAGTTTGTCAAACTTACCTAACATTATCACCTTCTACGGCAAAACATCTAATATTCATGTTGTACAAGTATATAGGAGTTGATGGATGGTAACAGTATTAGCTAACAATTATGTTCTGCACCTATAACATTCTTAACTCTTTTTTAAGATTAACTTGTTCAGTCCACCCAAGAACCTAAAAAAGTAGATGCCATTAGTAAGCCCATTTTACAACAGTGAAAACTGAGACAGAATTATGTCACAGCCACACCATCATTAGGCTATTTTGGAAGCAGGATTTCCATTCAGGCATCTCGTCTGCACAGCACCCATTCCTGACTACTAAAGCAGACGATTTCCCATACATTCTTTATTTTCAAACAGTGAATCGGGAAGCTTGGCCCTGCTTTCTTTTCTTCTCTTAATTTTTCCTTAGGAGATGCGAAGAGAGGTGTAGTTTTGTTTTATTCTAAAGAGAAGCTGAAAGTGAGCGTTCGTTCCTTCTTAACATCTTTTTCCAAAGCCATTTACCTTTTTCTGGGGCTAGGAAAGACTGAGAAGACAGAGCACTAATGAGCTTCTCTCTTTGTCTCCCTCCCTGTTTCTCCATTCTGCAGTTAATAGCCAAGATACCAACCATCACGGCAGTTTGCAACTTGCACGGGGAGAAGCTGCAGGTATTTAAGCAATCTCATCCTGACATAGTGAATACACTGTTTCCTCCATTATACAAGGAGCTCTTTAACCCTGACTGTGCCACCGTCTGCAAATGAAGGGGACGAGAGAACTGGCTCACAGTCGTGGAGTACACCACCATTAAGACGAAAGCAATGTGTTCATGAAGACTTAAGAAAAATGTCACTACTGCAACATTAGGAATGTCCTGCACTTCATAGAGTTATTTTTCACCGCTACAGTTTGAAGAATGTAAATATGCACCTGAGTGGGGCTCTTTTGTTTGTTTGTTTTGAAATGACCATAAATATACAAATATAGGACACCGGGTGTTATCTTTTTTTTTTTAATTTTATTCGGGTATGTTTTGGAGACAACTGTTTATAGAATTTTATTGTAGATATATACGAGAACAGAGCGGTACTTTACATGATTACTTTTCCTGTTGATTGTTCAAATATAATTTAAGAAAATTCCACTTAATAGGCTTATCTATTTCTATGTTTTTAGATAGTTGATGCATGTGTAAATTTGTAGCTGTCTTGGAAAGTACTGTGCATGTATGTAATAACTATATAATATGTGGAATATTATATATGACTATTACTTATACATGCACACGCACTGTGGCTTAAAATACCATACCTACTAGCAAGGGAGGTTCAGTCAGACTCTCTTATATTATTTACCTTCTGTGTTATGTGTTACTTTTATGTTAGACAATCAGGGTTTTGTTTTTTCAGCCAGAGTTTTCATCTATAGTCAACAGCAGATCGGTACCAGCTCAGAAATAAGTCTACAAAGAAATCCATGTAATGCACAGCCTCTGTATAAAAACTCTTATTTCTGTCAGTGACATCAAAGCCTTGTCAAGATGGTCCATACTGAGTTGGGGGAAAGACTTTGGAGCCATTTTCCTGTTTTGAGAATTGGGCTGCAGATAATATTGAAAGGCATGGGATGCTTTTTGACCAAACAATTAGACATTTCCTATTTTATACCGGAACATATAAAACACTGTTTTYCTTAGGATTTGGATTTCTGGTTGTGACAAAAACTTGATTTTGGTGCTCAGTGTCTTCAACCAAAAAATTACGGTCTGTGCATTRTTACCACCAGCCATTTGCTCTAGAAAAATAACAGTAAAAAAAAAGTAAACCAGTTCCCAGTGTCCAAAGCCATTTGGGGTAAATATTTTCTCTCAAATCATTTTTTGACAAAGAGGCAGAAGTAGAACATACAAGGTTAAAAAGTATTTCTTGATATTCATCCTTAAGTATTTGTTAGAAAAGACAACAATAAAATGGGGGAGRTAGAGCTTTCTATGTCATTCTAGCCTGGGGCTTCTAATTTTCTTCAATTTCAAAACAATGTATTATTGAAATATAGCAAAAACTTGACAGATTAAAAAATATATATTTATTCTATGGAAGGAATATACCCAATGCCACAACTACTTTCTCTGCAGTTTGAAATTGCATTATCCATCCATCCATCCTAGATTATATTTTTAGGAACTCTTAAACTTACAGAATGCAAGAGTGATATCAAAATCAGAGAATTTAGGCATTCTTGTATAAGTTCTCATCTCTCCATCTATTCTCAGGTAAAATTAAGCATAAATTCCAAGACATTTGTTTTGTCCATGTCCCTGAGGCCTATGTCTTTGGTATTATCTGAGCCACAGTAAGATTGTTAAAAATGGAAACTATGAGAGAAATTTACATTAAGACAGTGAAAATCACAGTCTCCTTAAGTGTAGGCCAGCCTGTGCATAAAGACCTGCCCTTTTCCCCTTGTCAAACACATGGCGCTCCCCCTCCTCACACACACACACACACACACACACACACACACACACACAGACTTTGTAAATTTCAAATCATGGGGACCTTGACTATTTTTCACTTCCTATGATCTCCTAAAGTTCATGGTCGAGTGCCATCTCCATGATGCCTCAGAACTCCTGATTGATGATCAAAACAGTAGTGTTAGTCTTTTCCTTTTAGAAAACGAAGGCTTTTCTCACCTCATGATTGATGAATTCCAAACCAATGGGGAAAAACAAAAAGGCTTTAAAATAATGAATCTCTTTCTCRACTAGTTATATTCAATTAATTTAACTACATTGAACCAAATTACCTTTGGTTCTAAGAAGACAGCTGTAGACTGCTTATTATGCTGCTACAGGGACTCAATTCTTTTTGGTATAAATGTCACTCCTGCTAGCTCTTTGTATAAAGAATTAATTCCAAGAGTCATATTTCCTTCTAATGGAAAGATTACTTTACTGATTGCTAGGAAAACAGGGTAATGGAAGGCACTCAATTAAACCAAGCCATTTCCAAATGCAATGTATGTTTTATGATTGGCTTGTGATAGGCGATGCTTAATGTGTCTACTTGGTGTTTCCCTTTGAGCTTTGAACTTATGTCAAACTTTGTTTTCATTGTTCTGTTGGCCTAGTGCTTCCCATTGTCAGCCTGTAATTCCTGTTCTGTTGCCAAGGGAATCATTCGTTGCCTCCAGTTTACCTTAGAGGATTTAAATTGGCTCAATTGATGAGGTAGCTGAGAATTTTTTCCTCCCTTGTCCCATGGGTGGTGTAGGAAAAAGATTGTTCCCCGCATTTGTCTCGGGAGATACTGGTTTTGATTTTGTGTCATTTCCACTAGTGCAAGCATTTCATTGGGACTGCATGAACTTTTTGAAGCCAGGGACACAGGAAAAAGAGCTAGCAACTGAACCAGAACAATGCGTTGGAAACCAACCAGTACAAGCTCAGCCCACTTCAGTTGAGAAAAGAGATTTTCAGTTTTGGCTACAGTTGCCAAATTTCCCCTGACAGGAGAATCRAGTCATGTTTTTCACAGTAACAAAGCCTTAAAAAGCTGCCCTTCGAACATCTCTTGTGACTACAGGTCAAGATATTTTGAAAATTTGGTTAAGAACAACTTTCTTTACAACATACAATCCCAGCACTTTGTCCTTTTCCCCCTGGGAACTAACAAACACACTCCTGATAAGGTGTGCAATGGAAGAAGGAATCCATAGTCTGCACTCCTCACTCCGTGCTTCGTAAATGACAATCACTGCAGATGTTGCACTGTCTCTGCTCAGGGATGTTTCATTTTAAAAATAAAATAATAAAAAAATATATACATCAAGAAGGAGGGAAAAAAAAAAACAGGAAAATGACAACAAAATTTCAATGGCACAAATTAAATATGCCAGTGAGAGAACCTCTCTGACAAGGCTTTCGGTCCCATGTGTAATCACTTCATGTCATAAACTGAACTGGCCTTTATTATTTGGATTTGCCTAAAAATTGCAGATGAATAAGGAAAACTTACATTTATTTTCTAAAAGCTTCTAAGAGTCAAATAATMAGGTGCTCCATTTTTAGGAGTAGATATGCCCCCAGAAAATCCAAGCTTCCTATGCAAATCCTAAGCAAGGAAAAGAAGGGAATCTAACTGGCATTGGATGACATTGACAAGGGAAGTAAAGCTGTTTAGATTTGAGTGCCAGTGTATCTGTGTCTAAAGAAGAAAGAGCAAATTTTGAAAGGAAAATAAGAGAAGCCTGTCACAGTGGTGCATGCCTATAATCCCAGTGATTTGGGAGGCTGAGGCAGGAGGATTACAAGTGAGGCCCTAAGCAACTTAGTGAGACACTGTTTCAAAATAAAAAATAAAAAGGGCTGAGGATGTGACTCAGTGGTTAAGCCACCCTGGGTTCAATTCCCAGTACCAAAAAAAAAAAAAAAAAAAGAAGAAGAAAAGAAGAGGTTCCAAATCTGTTTTCACATCCCTCATGACAACTTTCRTCATTGCAATAGCCCCTTTCCTGCGGCTCTTTTATTCTCAAAGACTAAAATCTGGGGGAAGAGATGTACTGTAAAAATGCTCTTCTGGATTTCCCTTGTCTTAACACTGTCTTCAGGGTTCTGGATAAAAGGACCTCTGAGTAGGTACAAAGAGGAATATCATGGTCTCTGGGGTAAGTAGRTGTCTTTGGCAGAATCTAAGAGACCCTTAATTGTAATGAACTCTGTATGTCAACAAGACATGTGAGAGAGACTTCAGTGTTATTTCCTTTGTGGCTGCCTGGTTCAACCCATAACTTCCAATAGTCCAACTAAACTGTAGAGAACCAGGCAGATGGAGAGCCAGTGCACATTCACTCTACCCTGTTACGTGTACCTGGCCTGAGTGCAAATATAATTTTTACGTTCCAAGGTCAACAGAAAACTTACAATTTCCTCCCCCCCAAAAAAAAAAATCAGTCAGAGGCAAATAATGTCAATGTCATTCCATGTTCTTTGTTTCTGTTTATTAAAGAAACAAGGAAAAATTCTACTGCTATTGGAAAGTAGAGAAAATAATTTCTTCCTGATTCTTTTTTTTTCTCTTTAAACAATTGTTTCCAATGAAGTTACTACAATAGGTAGTTGACTCAGGCAGGGACGTCTATAATTGAACAGAAGCACCCGTCAATAGAACAGCAATAACTATGGAGCATGCATCTGGAGTGAAACTTTGCACAAAGTCCCTTTATAAAGAAGAGGGAAAAGCTGTCCATCTGTTTTAGATGAAGTGCTATTTGATGTGATGTTGGCATCTGCTAATACAAACAGCAAATAGAAGTGAAGGCCTGATAAGGAAAACCAGGGAGAGCTTTCAGAAAAGACCTGAAATCTCTTGGCGGGTAAGGGGGTGCAAGTCTCAGGCCCATGTCCATTTAAAGCAGAGGTTATAAATTCAAAAGCCTAAAAGGACCAGGGAGTGGATGCAAATGAGAGAAGCAGTCCAGCAGCAAGCTGGCAAGGAAATAACCCACCTAACAGAAGACATCCACTGTGAGGCTGGAGCTCAGCATTGCTAGAGCTTCCAAGTCCTGTAAAATGTCTTGAGCTGTAAATAAGGGCAGTTGATGCAGAGTGTAGACCAAACAAACATACCTGGGAACAGAAGAGTCCCCTGACACTGCCCGCTGCAACCTCTGGTTTAAATCAAAATCACAGTCTAGCAGCCTATTCAGCTGTAGAAAATGTGGCCAGATTCATCCAAGGATGACATGAGAATAATACTAGTGTGGAAGGGAAGAAGGAAAGATCTTGCCTTTCCGGCTTTCAGTTAAGTTTCCACATGGAACGATCACTACTCAAGGATATAGTTAGAGGTTGATTGAACAGAATGTTGGTAWAAAAATGAAGACAATTCAACTTATCGATGGCTAATAAAAGATACTTCTATTTGTCTTGCCCAAATTTCCATCTTGGATAGCCAGGGGGTTAGCTTTCTTGCCACTTTTTTTTTTAAAGTCAAATGCATGACTTTGTGTTTTCAAGTCTCAACCTGCGTGGTTCACTGGGTGGCTTCAATATTGCAACAAGTTCTTACTTTCCCTCAGTTGGATGCATCTGAAGAATTTATTCTGTAATCATTGATAGTGTGGTCCCCTCACATTCTGAAGTGCAGACCTCAGGTTCCTATGCACCAGGTGGGGGTTGTCTGTGCACTTTTTTCCTATGATATTGAAATTGTTCTGAATTGAATGGGCCATGGTCATCTTTGCCTCTTGCATGACCATAAGCATGACCTCCAGTGGATCAGAGAAAGCAGCTCAGTGACTATTCTCATGGCCAAAACGAAAGCACAAGGGTTACTGGAATTTAATAAGCCCAGTTCAGGAACACAGGGTGTCTGCTCCCCAGCTGAGCAGCACTTTATCTCTTATTCGACTACTCTCTTCTGGCTGTGGCTGATGGTAAGCACTGTCGTGCCTCTGTCACTACCATATGTAGACACACGTGAGGTATGTCTGAAGAGCTACAAATCCCACATCCAGACACGGTACCGTCTGCTTCATCTGATTAACACACACACAAGAATGAAAACTACACCCACAGAAAACTGAGTATGTATTGTAGAAATGTAGAGGAAAAATAAAATATTTTTTCAAATGTAATTACTTTTAATATATGCTTGTGGAAGGTCTAATACAATGTATGCTGTCTCTAATTTTTGCTGTAAATAACTGGAGGCAGTGAATACACTGATTTTTCTATGTCTCTGTTTAAGCATAAGACTTTGTAACAATTTTTTTAGAGGGGGAAAACAACAAAGAGCAAATATGTACTTGCTTCCTTTCTGAGTGTCATGTACTTCTCAGTTTTTTAATGGAAACTGATTGTAACAGTTTAAGCATCCTGACGGGTCATCCGTGTTAAGTGTACGCTTCTTTTTGTAATACAATGGAGAAAGGGACAGGGCTGTCAATTAAATCTGCTCCAAAGAATTTGAATTG